ACTGGAGTTACATTCACTTGCTGGTTTTGCAGTGGGATTTACCACATTTACCAAACGCATGTCGTGACAAACATAGATGCATTTTGAGCACTTTTATTAGGCAACCTTCAACCACATGTAGCAGTAGTGCTGCTTTGTGCCAACAATGTAACATAAATTTGGATTCGTTTTAGTATTATTTTTCTAATCTGTGGGCAATGAAGAGGGAGCCCGTTTGTGCTATATGCAGGGAGGAACGAGAGCGCGAAAAGAAGGAGCAGATGACGTGAGGCAGATGGGCAGGTAGAATGTTTTAAAAAGTTTAACCTGCCCTGTGATACATTCTGGTACGAGAGGGTACACGCTGTTGCGGACAAGGCACGCGCGCTGGGGGGCGCTCCACACAAATGCAGAGGCTGCAGCGAGACACCCCGCACGCCCCCGCACACCGGTACAAGTTTATTGCTGAGAGCAGTGGCCGTAATGAAATATGATCGCACCTGTCTAAAGTCAGACCTCGAGTCCGAGACAAGACCGAGTCCAAGCGCCTTCAAGACCGAGTCCAAACGTGGTCGAGTCCGAGACGAGACCAGTAACTCGTGTAACCTCGCGAAACCACAGCCGTGTGTCAACGCAAAGGCGGTTCTACCGGCAGCTTGCAGCAGGAAGTACACGCGCAGCTCTGACTCTGTGTTTCTCAATGAGAAAGTTGAGCCGCTTGTATCAGGTCTACAGTTAAACTAACAGCTGAACACACTTGTATTACCTTCTGTACAGGCTGACCACGGCAAAAGCCACGATTTAAAAAAGTAAATTTTAAAGCTCTTATTAACAGTCTTTCTGGACCTGGGCCCTTTTACATGACACAGATCTGCCCCAGGAGCACGTTGTCCTGACGGTAAAGGCACAAATACAACCAAAGATTCATGCTCTGTGTATTTTGATGGGGATACGTGTAGAGTGTCAAAAAAATAGGATGGATCCTATTTTCTGAAATCTACGCGTGCAGGACACGTTGCTCCATACGTGCGTCTAGCACCTGCAGTGAAGCCGTCCTCATTCACTTTCCATGCATTCTAAAAGTTAAACGTCCAAAAGTTGCAGTTTTTACGCTTGCATAGAGCGAAATGTACGTGCAGTCAAGCCAGGCCCTAACAGCTGAACAGACTTGTATTCACCTTCTGTACAGGCTGACCAGGGCAAAACGCGAGGATTTCAAAAAGCAAATTTTAAAGCACTAATTAACAGTATTTCTGGACATGGGCTCTTTCACACGACACTGTGGCCATACCGGCCTGATCCCGTCAGATCTCAGAAGCTAAGCAGGCTGGGCCTGGGTAGTACTTGAATGGGAGACCGCTAGGAATTCCAGGTGCCACAGTGGGTCGTTGTGTCCTTAGGCAAGACACTTCACCTGCATTGCCTAGTATGAAAGAGGTGTGAGCGTGAGTGATGGTGGTGGTCGGAGGGGCTGATGGCTCAGATTGGCAGCCTCGCTTCCGTCAGTCTGCCCCAGGGCAGCTGTGGCTACAGTAGTAGTTTACCACCACTGAGTGTGAAGTGAATGAATAATGAACTGTAAAGCGCTTTGGGTATCTTGAAAGACGCTATATATAAATGCTATCAATCAATCAATCGACACAGATCTGCCCCAGGAGCATGTTGTGCTGAGCCAGGCCCTAAAAAAAGGTCTAGAGTACTACGACACTAGCCTGTGCACATATTTAAAATTATATAATTAACTGAGCACCATTTTGTTTTTCCGGGCAAGTAAGTCTGGGTGTCGGACAAGTAAAAAATTATAGCCACTTGCCCGGGCAAGTACTTGTAAATGCTTAATGTCAAGCCCTGCATTTGTTGTTTATTTGAGAATATTTTATTTAACTTGTTAGTATTACCAAGCAGCACTTTGCATTTATTTTATTTCCCAATTTGTATAATGTGAAAACAAACTGTTGGTTTAATAAAAACACACGCAAATACTTGTGCATTTTGTTCCCATACAGTACCGAAAATGAACCGAACCGTGACCTCAAAACCGAAGTACGTACTGAACCATGATTTTTGTGAACCATTACACAGCTACAAGGTGGGACAGAGCATTTTGAGCTTTAAATATGTAGACAGCCTAATAATAAAGGGTTGCAGAAACATGTGAATGAAACAAAACACAACTCCAAGTATCTGCAGGTCCAAGGTTTTTTTTTCCCTGACAAAGACCGTCTTGCTTGTCGAAACACGTTGGCGTCCCTTCATGTCATAAAGGACTTTTAACATATTCAGTCGGAGTGCCTCGGGTTTGTACCTTGCCCACTTTTACATTTTCCAGTAAGGGCACTTTTCGGTGTAAGACTACTAGTTTAACCCTCATAGAGCACCTGTACTGTTATTTTTTTAAAACTGTTTTACGACCCATTGAAGTGCTCTACCTCTTTTCTTCATCTAACAACTCCAGTTTTTGATGAGGTAACAACATTATAGCATGGTTTAAAGCTCACAATAGTCAATTTTGTGTCTTATAGGCACTTAAAAAACACGCAGGAGCATTTTGTCTCTTCAAAGGTGACAACAAAAGCAAATATGAATCCTTAAACACTCATGAATGAGTCTAAATCTGCCTTTTAATCGATGCTGTGATGTCTGTAGTAGCATTGGCAGCGGGAGTCCACACTGGTGTAAACAACACAGGGCCTGTCATCTCCAAAGCTGTTTGTTTGTCGACAGACGCTCCACTCGGCCCACTCTCCTCCTGTACCAGCTCCGTGTGAAGGCTGAGACACAACAAGCCAGTGCCAACAATGGTGACATGGTGTGGGTGGTGCAGACAGCATTAGGCCTAATTTACATCTGGGGGTACTGATAGGGTAATAGTCTGAGCACTTTACTTTTATTTTTAACCAACCCTGTAGCAAACTTTTTTTGGAAATGTTACTTTAAAGGTCCACTATGAAACTTTACTGGTGGAGGGTCAGCCAACTACTTATGTCCATGGAGATGTTATTGCTTTATTTAGAAAGTTCTACTTCCACAGAGACAAGTACCGTAATTTCTGGACTATAAGCTGCCACGTTTTTGTCATACTTTGAATCTTGCGGTTTATACGACGATGCAGCAAATACATGGACGGATTATTTGTATATCAACACAGCAGATGTGCGCAGCCTGAGTGCAGGAAGCGCCGCTGTCTGTGCGATTAACATGAAGTTGCAACACCATCTAGAGCTATCGTCAGTCAACAGTTTAACAGTGTGTTAAAATAAGTTACGATGCTAAATTATTAGGGATGTAACAATATCCAAATCTCTCTGTACGATATTATCACGATATGCATCTCACGGTACGATATTTATTGTGATATTTTGAAGGAGACACTTTTTTCCTTTTAAAATACCTTGACAAGATTTTGGTGTGAATTATTACTGTCATAATCCCAAGAATTCAAGTAAAAAAACATATCTCTTCATGTTGTTTGTATGAAATGAATCATGGGATATGTAGTTCCCGATGTTTATTAGCTGTTGCTACTATTAAAACCATATATTTAAGGAAATAAACTTGTATTCGATATATTGTGACAGCCCACGATATGATTGTGACAATTTTGACAATACGACATCACGATATTTCAGTTATTGTTACATCCCTATAGATTAACATTAGTGTGTGGGATATGTCTTAATGACCCATATGAGTTAAAGGAAGATGGGTGTGTAAATGATGAGAAGAAATGTCTCAATCTTCAGTAGTCGAACATCCACTTATACTTGATCGATACACTTATCCCCGCCCCCAGGAGAGCCTGAAATCTGCTGAAATCCTACAAGACACTGACATGAAACCAGACAGGACAGCGGCTCTTTCTTTTCTGCAGTAGAGCTTCGTAATACTGTCGTTTTACTGCCGTGTTCCAGGCACTGTTCAGAAAAAGCATGTACCGATATTTAATAAAAAATTCAAAAAAATCTTTCTGAGTAAATATCTAAAGTTACAACGTGGACACCTGCGACTTAAAGACAAGTGCGGCCTATATATGTAAAAAATGTATATATATTTTTAAATTTTGTTGATGCAGCTTATATTCAGGTGCGCTCAATAGTCCGGAAATTATGGTAAGTGATGCTGCCGCTAGGTCAAGTTACAGTTAAGATCTGTGGAGTGGAAAGCCCACTCTGTGTAACACTGCATGTTTTTCAAGGTATGTTTGAGCAGTAGTTGTTTTGGATACTGTAGAGAGTTCCAGGCAAAAAACAATAAACCACCAAGACAAGCGGCTGACAGACCTTCCCACCAGAAAAGTGACACCCTTAAGAAAATACTATTATTATACGCGACGATAGCTCAGTTGGTGGAGCGTTTGTCCACTAACCTAAAGATTCTTGACCCACAGGTTGGTTCGTGTGATTCCAGCTCTCACAGATGAATGCTGCTGTTGTGTCCTTGGGCAAGACACTTAACCTACCTCTCCCCCAGTGTCTGAGTACACTGGTGTATGAGTGTGCGTGAATGGGTGAGTGGTTTCCTTGTTGTAAAGCGCTTTGAGTGTCTTGAAGGTGGAAAAGCGCTGTATAAAAATGTGACCATTGTTATTTTTTTGTATCGCTGTGGTATCAAAATTGAGTCTGAAATGTTTGTACAGTGACAATGCCATTCCCGACGACGATCCTGTCAACAGTTTGATCTCTGGTTATCTTTAGTGTCTTCAGTAATGACTTTCTAAACGCCAGGACACAAGAGGCACGTTTTGACTGGCTCTGGTACTCTGGCTGGTTTGCCTCGGAGTTCCTTTGACCTGTCATGCTTCACTCTGACAGTAGAAACACTCTTCATACACAGACTAATGCAAAGATCCTGGTTGTGTACCTGTCTGTGTATGAAGAGAGTTTCTACTGTCAGAGTGAAGCATGACTGGCTCTGGTACTCTGGCTGGTTTGCCTCGGAGTTCCTTTGGACCTGTCATGTTTCACTCTGACAGTAGAAACACTCTTCATACACAGACTAATGCGAAGATCCTGGTTGTGTACCTGTCTGTAGCGTCTGTACTGGCCTCTGCTCCTCCCTGTTCAGCCGACAGAGCAGTGACGTCAGGCATCCCCACCCGCTCCAGGAAGCACAGCTCAGGGTCGGCTCGCATCGCATTGTAACGCTCATAACCTGAACAAGACAAGATTAACAGAAGGTTTAGTACTTTAAAGTTCCTGGGTTAGTGTGAGTATTAAAATAAACACTATCATCACTAGTTACAAGGAGGCTGAAATGTTATGCTTATTACAGTAAAATATTGCAATGGATTTGGAAAAAGTTCATGGAGAGGCTACAGTTGATAACAGATCGCATACATGTGTTTATGTTCATTTGTGTTTATGCAATCATTGCTTCCAGTGAAATGTGACAGTAGTAGTAGTAGCAGCAGCAGTACTAGTAATAGTAGTAGCAGTAGCCATAATAGCAGTAGCAGTAGTAATAGTAACAGTAGTAGGAGTATAGTAGCAGTAGTAGTTGTAATAGCAGTAATAGTAGCAGTAAGAGTAGTAGTAATTACAGTAGTAGTAATATTAGTAATAGCATTTGTAGTTGTAGTGGATGTAGTAGTAATAGTAGCAGTATCAGCAGCAGTAGTAGTAGTAGCAGTAGTAGTAAAAGTAGTTGTAGTAGCAGTAGTAGTAGTAGTAGTAATAGCAGTAGTAATAATAGTAATAGTAGTAGGAGTAGCAGTAGCAGTAGTAGTAGTAGCAGTAGCAGTAACAGT